TGTTCCAGAATTCATTCAAATATTTTTAATTATTTTCCAGGGTCTAAATGTCATAACCACAACGACTACGGCCGCTGCAGTGCATCACCAGATGAGCGCCGATACCTCTGGACTCATCCAACCACCTCCCAATCAGCAATTACCTTTGGCTGTCCTAGAACGTGAGAAGAATCACCTCAGCTACCCGCATCAGCAATTGCAACCGTATCAGGGCAGGAATCCCTGCCAGGAACGCAATCTGGCACCCCTGCAAATGCGCACTCCTCCGGTTCTCGTGGAGCGGAGCAAGAAGCACAGTTTCCAGACGCAGCCGCAGGAGAACTCCCTCTCCTGCCTGGAGCACGATGTGAGTGTGGAGGAGCTGATAGCCAGCCATCATCACCAGCAGCAGCAGAAGAACACGATTGTCAGCGCGGTTGGGAATACCACTTCCAGCTTGGGTCAGGGATTTCCCAAACAACAGAACACAGATCAGAAGCTCAGGGGATGGCATGGGGTCAGAGCGCTGATCCACAAGAAGCTCTTCCGCAAGGAGCACGCTGAGGAGCTGTGCCGCCAGTTGCAGTTTGGCGAGGAGAAATCCAACCTGGTGACGGCGCTACGTCGACCAAACAACCTGGACTTGAGCCCCCGCCTCGATAAACCGCCGCCGGTTCAACTGAGAAGTGCCGAGCAGAGGACAGGAACTCCGGCGCACATAGTACCCCGCTCGCTCTCGAGCAGCCTGATTAAACACATCAATGGGAGCACCAATAACAACTGCATCCAGAGTCATGGTAGCGAACTACAGACCCTTACCCGTCCCGCTCCAAAACGAAGACCCGGTCACCTGCGCACCAACTCCCTGATGGTGACCACGGGTCCTCCGGGTCCTCCGACGGAGCAGCAGATGCGTCGCCAGCACAGCCTGGAGGTATTCCGGGAGGTGTTCAGCGGTCGGGGGAGCAGCGAGCGACTGAGGGATCCCAGCGAGAGGGTCAAGACCCCGGGCGATGTCCCACCATCCGTGAGGAAAGCCCGGGCCAGCAAGACTCTCAGTCTGTACGACGATCGGATGATGGACTCCTCGCTGCTCAACATTCTCTAGCATGAGGAGGTTCTGCTGCTGGAACTATAAATTGATCACGGGCAGCAGGACATTAATATTATTCCGAACCCATATCTCATCCTTCATCGAAAACATATTCAACGATAGCCATAGAGCAGAAGACTTGAATCGCTTCCTGGAAAAGTCTTCTCAAGAAACAGAAACGATAACGGGATTGTTTGAGATTTCTACACTGAATTCTTTTCGATTTCAAATCAATAGTATATTGTATTAATGAGAATTCAAAAAATAATAAGTCAAGGAACATTGCACATTGATGTATTACACAGGAAATATGAACCATTTTTACACAGAGTGGTTCGAGGATTTGAAATCGAAAGAATTGTGTGAAATTGAAAACTCTTAACACATCCGAAAAACATTTATTTTTCGAACATAGTAGAAGAGAAGTTCAAAGATAGTATGTGTATATCTGAATGTATTTTTTCACCAATCATCCTAGCGTGTAGTGCGGCAAACAACCAAAGTCCTTATAGGTTAGATCAGACTAGAATCGTATGAGTATCAGTATATAGCAGTATATAGCCTCACACACACATATATTTTTGACTTGAACTTGGACAAGAGCGAAACAGGTAGTAGTCTATATAGTTTGTATATGTACGGTTTTCACTCGAGTTGAGCTTAAGGCAAGAAGGGAATACAGAATGAAGGGGATTGGTCGGACCATTTTTATAGAGCCATATATAGTAACGAACTGCATTACGAGTATATCTTTAACTATGCATTGTACTGGAATATTTAGTCATACACAATTACACATTAAAGCCCCAGACTTGGGTTGTCATTATACTGAAAACAAGTATACAAAAACAAAAGGAGCACAAAATACTCGAAAGAAAATATCTGGTTAACAAATTATATATTCTTCTTCGGAAGAAATGACAACCCTTTACCCATTCGTTCGAGTATTTGGCAACTCTATCTAGTATACCCCTTTGGATGAATTTTCGATGAATGCCTTTTTGTCGTTCTCTTTAGTACTTAGACCAAAACACCCGCAGCCTTTCAATCACATTAAATGCAAGTCTAGTTATATATAATTTACACTAAATATAATTATAAACTAATTTAATATAATTAATAAACGAATTATTTAAAAGTGATCAAAGTCTGCATATCTCTCAGTCTTGTTCCTCTGGGGACTTATATCTACAACTTATTCGCTACGCAATCGCAACTCGATCAGAACGGGACCATCAGGTTTATTTATCAACAGGGTCTTGACATCCATCTCTTCATCGGATCCACTCCAAATTAATTCGTATTCACGCAGAAGCTGAAATTGCAAATCAAATCAAAACAATGGAATAATCAATTTGGCATAATACTGGAGATCGCAAAGTGCTGATCTGTTTCCGTTAGCTCACCCTGAGAAGCAAAATGTGCATATTCTGCTCGGCCAAACGACGGGCGATGCATGCCCGCATTCCATGACCGAAAGGCAGTACCAGGTAGGGATTGAGGGCACTACGATGCTGGAGCCAACGGTCTGGCTGGAAACGTAGGGGATCCTGAAAGTGCTGCTCCAGGCGACAGGCCACCATGTTCTGGGTCACCACGGTGGTCTGGGGACAAAATATATTTATTACTACTGCAATATTAATTGTTTAACGCCTCAAACATACCCCTTTTGGAACAAAGTAACCACTGAAGACCGCATCCTGGTTAAGAATTCTGCCCACGCCCACAGCAATGGGGTTTAGCCGAAGAGATTCCTTGAGGACAGCCCTCGTATAAGTGATATCGGTCCTCAGGGCATCCATAGATAGCTGATCCTTGGGATTTGGAAGCACTTTCTTAGCTTCCTCATAGAGTCGTTGCTGGACCTCGGGATTTCGGGCTACATGATAGAGCAGGAAAGCCGAGGCATACGATGTGGTATCTATGCCAGCTAAAAGCAAATCAGCAGCCGTGCCCACCACGTCACTGCGATCAAGTTCTGGATTTTTAAGATAAGCTGAGATCAGTGAGGAGTCCACTGAACCGTTCTTTATGTTCTTTTCTAGTAGTTCTAGGGCCACAGCCTCCATGTAGGATTGGGCCTGGCTTAGTTTTCGAAAGGTTGGTGTCTCCAGGAACCGCCACAACTGAAGACCCTGATCCGTGGGCAGGATACAACTATTGGTGGTCTCCGCTGCATCCATCAGGCGGGTGGAGCGAGATTTAGGATCTTGTTCCTCGGGAGAAAAGGACTCCAGACGGGCTCCAAAGGTAAGCAGGCAGGTTACTAGGAAGGAAAGTAAGTATATATATTATAATTTAAACACACACATATAAGAACACTATACCATTTTGATTACCATCGAATTTTAAAGTAACAATGTTCCACTACGAGTAACGGGTTATCACTTTGACATATAAAAAGAAACTGACTCCATGATAAGCCTATGTAAGGTATTTATAAAATAACCTCGTGTTCAATAAATTCCAATCAACGGGAATGTAAATTTTACAACTACAAATACTAGAATCCTGAAGTAAGTCCACTAATAAATTTTTCATCATCGAATTACTTAAACATGTTTGTACCTAGACTTTTTAAAAGAACCTTACGTTATCATAGACCTAGAAACGGTATTTTCCAAATAATTCTGGCTCAAGGAATTCGAATGAACGGGAAATTGCGACATTCAAGATTTGAAATTCAAATACTTGATGGAATATTTAATTTATTTCGAAGCTGATCTGTACTCACATTCCAAATTCAATCTGGTGAGTTTGGGCAGCATATCAATGGCATCTCCCTCTCGCGTCTCTTGTAGAAATCTAAGAAACTCCCTGGTAACTCCATCCACCTGGCAGACGAAGTTCCTCACACTCTTGGGGGCACTCAGCTCTTTTTGCAGCTGGGCACGTAGACGCCACCACTCTGGTCCATTGGTGGGCAGCAAACCGGTGGTCTTGTAAATTTCCGGTCGATTCTTACGATATTGGGCCAATGCCAGATGACTTCTTCTTTGTGGACAATCCCGCTCGTTGAGCAGAGTGGCGATGTCCTTGGGATCATACAGCCAAACGATGTCCTGCCCGGGAACAATAGTTTCCCTGACGATTGCGCCATATTTCTTATACTTATCCTGACCGGCTTGGTGCAACTTTAGCCAGGAATAGGATCCGATTCCGGGCAGATAGTTGTAGAGATTCCCCATCCCGAAGGGTCCTCGTGGTCCTGGAATCGCTTGATAGGGTTTGGCAAAGGTGCACTGCCTCGAAGTGCAGCTAATCTTCAATAGTTTAGTCAGCATTTTTCCTCGGTTCTCTGTTCTCTTCGCGGCAAATTCTCGAAATGCACTGAAGGTTACGTGGGTTTGACAATTTTATTGCTGGCTTAGCATTCTGACAAAAGGCATTTAAACGGACTCCAAGCTGAAGGTTGTGCCTACCTGTGGTGAATCTACTTTCGATCGATTTACCTGAGATGGTGGTCTCTTGAGAAGTACTTTTTAAGAGAGTCAAGATGGTAAAAATCCTAGGAGAGATCGTACGGAGTGGCCTACTTTTGGGGTGTAAACGTTATTAACTGTTGAACATTTTCTGTTAAACATTTTTAAGAAATTTAAAGACCCTCCATTTATCAAATTTAGGTCTAAGAACAAATATGGTACATTTTCGGTACACTTATATTCTTATTTGTTTTTTATATTATACATTTGTTTATTTTTTTAATATGTAGAAGTGAAAATTACGTTTTAACAGATGGTATAAGGTACATAAATGGCAAACCGCAAACATAAATACCTAAGATTTGCTTCACACGATTTCTTAACTCTATTTTCGATTAGCATCTTAATGGTCATCTATACAAATAAGGTACTTATTTTAATATGGTTTATTTAGGTTAAATACCCATAAATGGATTTTGTTTAATAAATGTGTCAAAAAATCGGGAGATCGTTAAATATATTTATTGCCAGTCTTTCTTTGGTATATTATAGTACATGAAAATAGAGAAAACAAGTTGCAAATTTTACATATCTTTCTTCTCTTCTAGAGGCATTTCTTCCTCGTTAAGAAGATACTTCTCCTCTTTGAGCATCTTGTCATTATAATCTTTCAATATATTAATGGTCTCTTGGATTGTTGAGGATTTCTTGGAGGTCTTTTTTACCCTCTTGCGTTTTTTAGGTAGCTCAAGGTCCGACTGTTTAGAATTCCGCCTAGATTTGGAACGTCCTGTGACAAGGACTATAATTAGGCGGACCACATTTATAACCACCGCCATAAGGATAATAAAGGGCACCATCAGCACATCTAGGGAATGGGACACGAAGAAATTTTGGGCTAAGGCCTCAGTTTGTGAGAACTCCTTAAAGAAACGTGGCTCTGCAATAAGTTGTTCAGCATGCCAAACTGCCAATTCTAGGGCGGATTGTGGACGGTTTCGGAATTTCAACTGAGCATGGTAGAGAGCACTTGTGAAATGTTCGTCATCAAGAATCCGCTTTAAAGCAACAGTCAGGGATCTCAGATTGAATTCCTTGGCCTGAACCACCACGCCTAAGTAGCGTTCCATGGCACGCTGGGCATTCTGGAAAGTTAAGGTAAAATATTGTATTTACTTAATAAAAAAATTTAAAACTAAAAACTCACATTAAATTCCTCCAGTTTTAGGGGAAGCATAACAACAGGCACTCCATTGTGCACTGCCTCCTGGAGACTGAAACTATCAGCATGATTCAGGAAACCCTTGACGTAAGGTAAAGCTAAAAATGATATAGTACCAACATTATTTTTAGTCCTAACAAATGTGAAAACCACTGATCCTACCCAAAATATCCTGCTGCAGTGACTGATCAACATGAAGGGTTAATAAATTGGGTCTCTCAGGCGGCATCTCCTCCAGCTCCTCCACATTCCATATAAACCCACAGTTGGGATTGTCGAGTGTCATCTTAACCACAGCTTGGACTCCCAGGCTATTCATATATTCAATATAGGGCATATTGATGTACACGATGCCATCGATGAATTTCTCTGTGAATTTTTGTATATAACTGGGCAGAGGATTGACCTCAGTCTTGATGTGAAGGCCACCCACTTCGATGACTCCGGGTGGAAGATTTTGAACATAGTCCAAGGTTGAATGGGTGTTTAGTAGCACTAATTGTAAAGTGGGAAAGGCATTTTCCGTAGTCACCAAGTTATTAAGCACAGGTCGAATGATAACGAAATGGATCCTGGGGGTTAAAAAAATATTAATGATCTCTTAATTATTCTAAGTAAATTAAGAACCCACAGTGGCTCTGCATAGTACAAGATGTGGTTGTGAAGTCGGTTCCAGAAGCCCATCTTTTTCGGAACCTGACTTATGTAGTGCGGTGTCCTGGCCGCATTTATGGTATTTTCCGCTTTGAGCAGAGAGATCAAGTCTGGGGTGAGTTTTCCCGCACTCAAGCCAAGAACCGGCTTTGAACGCCAAATGGGAACCGCATCCATAAGGCATTCCATGCCGTGGGTGACGTCTGTGATTATCAGATCAAAGTCCACGGCCAGTTGGGCGGTCAACTCCGGCATCTTACTGTTCATGGTATCCGAGTTGAGGACGGAGCGGCAGCTGCCCAAGAGGACCTCGTACCACACCAGCAGCTGTTTAAGGGTCACCATTGGCTGGTACTCGTGGGTATCCTCACGCAGGAAGTGCTTCTTCATCACATCGTATTCGTTGGGCAAGTGGTAGTACAATAGACCGTCCACCTGCTTCTTTGGCTCCGGGTTAGGAGCTGTACTGATCACCAGTAAGGTGTGACCATTGGCCACCAGTGCGTCGAAAAGTGGCTTCGACCATCCGGGATTGTTGTGCTTGGCCGTGCTCACTAGGCACAGGATATTTGCAGCCTTCGAGGGGCAAAAGGTCCCCAAAAGAACAATCACCGGGAGCAGAAACAAGGTCTTCATTGCTCCACTTACTTTCCACAACTGATTCACTTTTGTTGGTTGTTTGGGTAGCTCGCCCCGATAAGATTCGCCGGGTTATGTGTTTGTCGTGCTGATAACGTTTCGATCGGATTTCTGTTCTCCACGATATGAGTGTGATTATGGCAAATCGAAGCCAAACATTGACAACAGACTGAAGCTTTGGGCATACGCCTCCTTAGACAAGAAATCATTTGGGAAATTGACTAGTATTCGGTGTCTTAAAATGATATTTTATATTCTTTCTCAAAGCTAGCTGGATAAACCACGCTACTGTAGTTCATTAAAAGTGATGGAAATGAACTTTGTAAAATACTTTTTAGTTCGAAAATGGAACAATCGAAAAAAGCCCTTATCGGTATCGAAGTAGCCACGGTTTTTGTCAAAACAAGGAAGAACGCTATAGTCGAGTACCTCGACTATCAGATACCCGTTACTCAAAGGGAAATGGAGATATGCAAGCAGCAAAGCGAAATTAAAATGCGCCACCTACCGGCGGTAGACAGATTTAAGCGTTATGGGCGTTAGAGTGGGCGTGGCAAATTTATTTTTGGATCAATCGATAGGTATTGACGACACCAATACATTTCAGTTCAAATTTTTCATCTAGCATCCAAATTGTGGGCGTCACAGGTTTTCGCGGTTTGTGGGCGTTTAAGTGGGCGTGGCAAACTTTTTTTAGGTCAATCGATAGGTATTGATGAGAACAATACATTTCAGTTAAAATTTTCTATCTAGCATCAAAACTGTAGGAGTTTCAGTTTTGGGCGGTTTGTGGGCGTTAGAGTGGGCGTGGCAGTCTACTGAAACAAACTTGCGCTGCGTAAGAAGCTCAGGAATCTGCACGCCGAATCTCAATAGCCTAACTCTCATAGTTTCCGAGATCTCAGCGTTCATCCGGACAGACGGACAGACGGACAGACGGACATGGCTAGATCGACTCGGCTAGTGATCCTGATCAAGAATATATATACTTTATGGGGTCGGAAACGCTTCCTTCTGCCTGTTACATACTTTCCGACGAATCTAGTATACCCTTTTACTCTACGAGTAACGGGTATAATTACACTATTTAGGGTAAAATACGATTTTTTATTTTGACACTTATTTAGGACCAAATTTATATATATAATTTATATAATTTATATTAATAAACAAAATGCATGAAATATTTATCATTTAAATAATTATTTATTATCTTCAAACTTATTAACAATACACAAAATAATTTTTCGCATTACTTGGCTAGAGTTTCCAGGCAACGGGTATTCATTCCTTTTCAAATGAATAGCTATTGGCCAAAAAACGGTTAATCATACGTCTTCAATTATGCTAAGGGGCGAAATGGGGAGTTTTAGGGGATGAACAGAGAGCTGTATTTATTTACTTTTCGTTAATATGGCAAGATTAATACGTGAAACGATTTCTCCCCAATCACATACACAATTTTTGTTTTTGTGCGCGGCAGTGAGTACCCCTAATAGACCTATGCTAAGCGCTAATTGCACATAGTTTCGATTTATAAATTATGTTACATTTAAATGTGATTAAGCATTAAATTAATTAACACAGATGTCGTTTTCTTTGTGTGTGTGCGTGCAGTAAAGAAAATAAAATAGTGTGTTCTTGAGAAGGAGAAGGTTTAAGCGTGGTTATATGTACAGGTTAATCGTAAGTGGGGACTGTCCCCTGGTTGAGGTTCTACGGTTAGTTTTGGTTCCTCGTTGAGTGAGTCGGGAGTCGGGTTAAGTGCAGCACCTTCATTATCATGGGTCGACTATCATGGTACAGGGGGCTTTTTTAAATCTTTAGATAGTATCCAGAAGTTTAGAATTCAAGGGACGTACATAAACATTGAATATTTGAAAATCACTATAAATTAATCACATAATATATTTTTCTTTTCGAAAATGTGATTAAAAAGCGTGATTAAAAAATCGTATGAATATATTACCCTTTTATCTAAGATTTCGCATCCCAACAATCCATTTACACAATAAATCGACCCACACTAATCTCCTAATCTCCTGGACCTAATCCCTATTCGTTGACCAGCTGCGCGGGACCCGGAGCATCGTAGGGCGCTCCATTGGCGCCCACATATTGGTTGTTATTCCGATGGACGAATCCCCTGCCGGGAGCTGCATTGTAGTAGACCACCCGCCGGATGCCGAAGGGATCCACGTAGCCAAAGCTGCCCGCTCGCTTTCCATCCGCCGGATTCGTTTCCTCCTCGTGATACTGCTTGGGCAGCACATAGCGGAATCCATTACGGGTCACGCCCACGCCATCGTACTCGGAGGCGGCCAATCCCTCCAGGTGATTACTCTGGACTGGCCTTGGACGCAGACGTCTTCGATACGAGCTGGAAGGCAGGGGTGGGAGTAGGGCAGCCTCCAGGGAGTTGACCTCCAGTGGAGACTGGGGTGGAGGATAGTAACCGTATCCCGTGCTGGAGGACGCGGCAGGCGGGGCAAACTGATAGGCAGGCGCAGCAAAGGGCTGCGGCGTGGAGTAACCATACAAATCCTCGCCAGAAATGGGTGCTGGTGTACTGGAAACGATGGCTATGGGCGATGGAGTTGGACGCGGACGCAGGCGTCGCCGGTGGGCACTCAGAGGTGGTAGCATATCCTGCGAAGGCGGTCTGGCCGTTGTGGAACTGATAACCGAACCAAACTGTCCATGGCCAAAAGCTCGATCTGCCTCAGCATCGTACACATTGATGGCATTCAGTTCCAAGTCCTGGACAGGCTCAGCATTGGGATGGATGTCCACCAGCGGGTTGAGGGGCGTGGCCTGAAGGGGCGAAAATACCTGGTCCCTCGCCCGTGGCAACTCATCCGGATAGTGATCGAATCCCAGCTGGGATTGCGGCTCAATCTTGGCAGCTTGCTCGGGGGGCAGGTAATTCAGCTTGCCCACGCCGGAGTCCTCGATGTCCAGAAGAGCCGGTGGTGGTGGTGGAGGTGGTGCCGCAGTCGTGGTGGATGTGGTGCTGGAAACGTAGCCATAGTTGGGACGTTGATAGCTGCCCAGACTGTTGGCAGAGGATCCTGATGAGCCGCCATGCACCAGGACTCCCGATTGGGCAGGAGCCGCCTTCGTGGATTTGATGGCGTCCTAGGAGAGATCAATAATTATATATCAATAAAAAGTAATTCAGCAAACAATGAACAATTTTACGATTAGGATCATTTACTTAAACTTTTTTTTTAAAAAACTACCAAATTGGGAACTGATTCTTTTTAGATTTGAATAAACTCTTTTGTATTTCTCACTAACAAATATCCTTACCTCAACTGCCCTTCCCAGGCCCACATAGATCGTCTTGGACTTGAGTATCCGGTATCCCTGCTTGTCGGCTATGTAGTCCTTCTGTCGCAGATAGCCAGCCGCATCGATCCAGGCCTCAGTGCCTGAGGAAGATAGAAATTAGGTGGTTCAACGACCTCCATCACCATTGACATCGCGGCTCACTCACCTATGACGGTGCCATCCTGCAGCCGCTTCTCCTTGCGGAACTGTCCGCTGTCCGTTTGGAAGCGGAAGTACCGCTCCGGTCCCTCGTCCGTCTGGATGTGGTACTGATTTGGACTGGGAGTCTGGCTGCCAGAAACTACTGCTGCCAGGGCCACCAGAGCCAGCTGAAAGGAAAGTTTCTATGAGTGATCGGTGATCGGAGCTTTGAAAAAAGGGGGAACGCCTCGAGGATTGGGTATTTCTAACTAATCACATCCGCTGGCAGCTGCCCCAAACCAAAACAGGCAGTCGCCAAAACATTTGTCGGCTTTCCGGTGGGGCAACTTGGGTACAGAGAGGAAAATAACATTTACTTTATGGGTACCCACATATCTTATATTTCTGCGCGATAAACTAATGAAAATGACATCTTTACGACTGTTTGGTTTTTTCCCACCATTTATTTTTGGCGTAAGCCAAAGTTAACTTAACAAAACATAGTAATTAAAATTTAATAGCTATAGCTAATATATTTAAATTTTAACAAACAGTTATAGCTATAACAATAATTTTTTTTAAACTACGATTTTTAGTATGCAAGCTTGGCACTTAAAAATCATAGGTGCTAATATAAACTTTAGATGCTTCATAAAATAGTACATAAAAATATTTTTCCAACCGAATATTTCTCACTGTGTGTGGCACGTTTCAGAGTCAAGGTGACACTGGCCAGTGAGGAATCAATGGCACGAGATGCGGTTTTGCAACATTTCATCAATCCGCGTGCGGAAATGCATCATGAGAAAGTGTTTTTCACAGCCGCAGCATCAGTGGCAAGCAGCTGAATCAACTTAAGCATCATCAGCGGCAGCATCGTCAAATCGAACCGGTTCACGTGGCGTATGCGTAATGCAGATGACTCGATTTGGCTTTACTTGGGATCGGCATTACTACCCAGTTTGTCCGCGCTCATGGTTAAGGTTGGAGCTCGAATAATAATACTTCTGGCAATTATTCTAATGTCTGAGCCACCCGCACGTTTAATCATTTACGCTTCAATTACTTTCAGCATTCCGTCATAAATTTCCATTGCTTCGATGAAGGGAAGAAGGGGGTTTTTCGTGTGGGTGGAACAGCTCTGAGCCAAGTTAGCTGGATAATTTCGGTTGCCGTTGACGTTTTTATTTTAATTTCGTGCTCGTTTCGTTATTCGCTGATTATATGTACATACGTCTTGGCTCGACGCAATTTATGGCGCTTTAATTAATTGTTGTTGAGACACTTTTCGGAATAATCAAAATAATTGAACCGCAAAGAATGAACTTTCCTTAAAGGGGGAACTTTGTTAGGGGCTAACTCATATACAAAATATTCATATTTGTTATTGATTTATGAATGACCTGTGACGTGAGTAAACTTTGCCATTAATCATATATTAAGGAGACACTTATTACAGCAGCACAAACGTGTAACGCCTTTCGGGATCTTTTTTATTTAACTCCCACAATTGTGTTTTGGGAATATTAAAATTGCATACAGAACCAAATATTGTATATCTGATTCATCGGTACTTTTATAATTTGCAATGTTTAAGTAACCCAGTTGAATTTAAGAACTTGTAATATGCTTTAGTTGGTAAAATATCCAATTTCAGTTAAGTCATTCGAGAAACAT